TTCCAATCCTCAATCAAACCACATTAGGACCCCACTACCACATCCCTCCAATTTACTTTTCCTATATTATCACCCTACCACCACCATCATCATCCTCACACCTTATCACCATCATCCGTCCATCATTCATCCCCTCCCCATCCTCTCTCTGTCGGCAGCAGCTCAGGAGGAAGAAAACCCAAAAATACTCCATTGTTGAGCCAAGGAAGAAGAAGGAGAAACAAGAAGAAGTGTCAAGGTTCCCAAATCTTAAGCTCAAAAACGCAGCATCAACTTCTTCGTAAATTCTGTAATTTTCTATCCATTTTCTCAAATTGTCTATTATACCAAAATCGTAGCCCCGGACGTTACGAATCCAACCCAACAAACGGTTCGTGATTTCGTTAAGTAACGAAGGAGATATGGCCAAAATACCGGGACTGCTCCTGTGGTGGCGAGCTCCTCGGTTTGGCCATGTTTCTTCACCATTTTCGCATCGTTTCTTTCCAAATACTTACCGTCAACTCTCTCGTGGTTATTAGGAACTCCCGGAGATTATTTCGAAGAAGATTGGGCGTCGGAAGCTCGAAGTTGATAGGGGTGACCGTACGTTGAACGTTCGTTGAGGCGTATTATTTTCTTTCCATCATTCCGACCTCTACTATATCAAGGCGAGTACATTTCACCCTAGTAACGCAATCCTTGGTTGAATATCAATCTAGATATATCGTTAGGATTTATTGCCATATTATAAGTCATTTATGCTTTATGATCAAACTCATTGAACTCATAAAGTAAAAATATGTTTTCTTGATACTTTACTTTAAATGAAAATATAAGTGTTAAGAATACTTCAAATACATAGATATGTTAATCATAAGTGTTAAAATAACTCAAAGAAGTATTTTAGATATCCAAAAATATCAAAAATAGGATTAGCAGACCGAACGATTGACGTAAACGGTCAACCGTCGCATTAAAAATCGAAACGGAGCAAGACTGTCAGACAAACGGTCGACCGCCGGTGGCCAACGGTCGACCGTCGCCTGCCCAGCCAAGAACCAGCGTCGCCACTTAGTCAACAACGGTCGACCGCCGGTCAACCGCGGTCGACCGTCACGGTAATCCGGCATCTCGACGTAAAGAAGATCAAGGTCGACCGTCCCGCCAAACGGTCGACCGTTCCGAGCCCCGTAGCTTAATTAAATGATATTTTTATCAGATTTCACCCAAATAAAATAAAGTATATTTATCCATTCATATTGTTTACAAATTGTTCATATAATATGATTCATTTCATCATCCATATTGAAGCATATCACATCATGTGCATGCGTAAGAGATCATGCGTAATTGCGTCTCTTATAGTGTGATGTGCGGGACTTACTAGTCCGGCATCACCCGTTTCGGGCTTAGTGTACGTACATGGTATTCGGGCTTCGAGTACCACCCCTACTTTCTAGTCTCCCTTGAGAGACTAAGGCCGCGTGAGTTCGTCGTACCAAATGGGCGAATCTCATAGCGCAAGGGTGTCCTTGCTCGTTAGAATCATACAGCATGAAATCATCAAGTACAATCATTATGACTATGTATGACATCAATTACATATCATTATCATTATCTTGAACATACATGCTATATTATGTCATATCATGAATAATTGTATGTCTACTTGCTATTCAACTTGGAATTGTTGTATTAGCGTATTCCTCAGCTGACGCTGAGCGTGTAGTTTGTTTTACTTGCTACACGTAGGTAACGATACTGGTCATGGAGCCCATCCCGGAGGTCAATGAGAGTGAAGAGATGTACGGACTGGTGGACCATATTTATGATGCTTTAATTAAATAAATACCTTTTCGGGCGAGTACCCAGAAAAATGTAAAACAATTTGATTATGTTTTATATTTAAGCTTCCGTACTGTTTCAACAATACTCTGAATTTAATATTTGAAATTATCACTTATGTTAAAGTTTAAATGGGTTTTAAATTGTCCTTCAAATTACCATGCGTATTTACCATCATGGTAACCACTGTGCGTGACGCCGTCTACCCTCTTCGTTTGGGAGTTTCTCTCTACAGGAACTGCAGTGCTGGCCAGTGTTCACGTAACACGGTTCACAGAGTATCCTAAACTACTGCTTCCTCTGTGATTTTGTTGTGTTTTTTGTGCAAAATTTGGATCTCCAGGATCGACTTCAATAGAGGATTCCATTTTTGAGTTTATCTTTTCTGATTTCGGAATGGATTTTGCTGAAATTGGTATGTCTTCTTCATCTTCTTCTTCATTTAATATTGATTATTTAAATTGTATCCTATGGCTGCAGAACAGTGACTGCCCTGCCAAGATATAGATTTAGTTCTCTAAATGCCTCAAGATTTGGTAGCCTGATATCATCACAACCTCTATACACATAGAATGTCTATATTTGTGTGTATATAATCTTAGATAAAAGGGTGCACTCCACTTAGTCAGATTTAATGTTAATAAAATGCTAATTTGTTCTTTTTTGTACGACTTGTTTCTTCTTTTCTTGATAAATTATTATTTTAAACTGCTTGAATAATTTCAACATAAAGGTAGCACATGGTGTCATGTTGAGAACATGCAAAGAGACTAAAGAGGGTAAAATCCTTGAAATTCATGTTGTAAAAAAGGATAGCTTAGTGCATAAAACATCATGCCAGGTGAGGGTTTCATGCAATTGCACATACATACACAAGAGAAAATAATCTATGTTTTTTTATTAGGTTTTAAGAACTTTACTATCTAGCATAATGGAAATGCTTTTGTTTGTTTGGCTAATTGAGCAAATCATTGTAGGGTACAAACTTAAAAAAAATAGAGACTTGTGGTGAACAAGATTGTTAGAGGATGACACCTTTTCTGGTCACTTGAGAAGCTTCTTTAGTATGGTGTGGGATTCATTTATGTATCTATTTGGTGAGTCATATGTGTCCTCTGTCGGTGCTATGTCACTGTTAGTTGCAAAGTATGTTTTGTGCCATCAAAGGTATCTCGTAAAAAGCGAGTGATTATTGGGATTCTTCATGTGTCTGCCCAGCATTGATCCTCACAATCTTGTTGGAACTTGGTGTTGAGACATGTATTAGGCATAATCTACTCGGCACATCAGTTTAGTGAGATTTTGACTGCATTCTTTTGTTTATTTTCATATTTCATTGACAGTTAGAAAGAACATAAGACTAATGTACATAGGAATGTTATGTTGTTTGGTGCATAGGTTATCATACCTTATATGAATGGTACCGATCAGCCGAGAGTGAGCATTTCCCAGATCCTACTGGTCTTAAAGAACGTTTAGAGCGATGGACATTTGGCCTTTATCCAGCCTGCATCAAGTATCTCATGTCTGCATTCGATGTGCCTGAGGCAAGAACAAATGTTAACTACTATTGCAATTAATGCTAATCAATTACTAGTTATTTTATTTTTTATGGGTTGTGTGGGCCAGTAATGGCGGTGACAAGGAACAACATATGCAAGAACGGGATGGAATCACTGTCGCGTGGGATTGCTGCAGTATATTATGCGTTTGTGCGTGAAAGAGGTGTTTGAAGTACAACTAAGTTTAGTTATCACATTCATGCAATTTAATTTTTTTAATACTAGGTTCATTGCAACCAATTACTAGGTCGATCTAGAAGAGCGAGACTTTCATGAAGTTGATAAAGGTTATTGATATGAATCAGTTACTACATTGGGGATGACATGTATGAGACAATGATTGAATTTGCAAGGCATTTCATGAAGTATCATGCAACTTGAACAATTCAAGTATGATATGGGAACAAATGACAAATTTAGTTGGCTCAATGGACAATTATGATGTCCTTTTATTTATGTAAATATTAATTATTTGATGATATTAATATTTTGAATGTATGATTTTAGATATTACTTGATGTATTGTAATTTTTGGAATTTATTTTTGTTTTAGGATTAATATTTTATAATTGAAATAAATTTTAATTATTAAAAATGGGTGCCTTTGATTTAGAGAGACAATACAAAATAATCATAGTTGGATAAACAATTAGACCACTATTCAACTTGATAGTTTGAATCGTATACAGTTAACTACACAAACCTGTAGTCTTAATAATTGTTAGACATCTAGAACACACAATTGTTTGAAATGAAACAAAATAGTCTTATACGTTCTACATATACCATAGAAAATAACAGTTGTTTGCATATTCTTAAACAAAATCATAGTGTTAATAATCCTTATACAACAAAAACAAACAGTTGTTTAAAATAAGACCAAAGTAGTAGTCTTAATTTGTACATACAACACAAAATAACAGTTGTTTGATGAAAATATTTGTAGTGGTCTTCCAAGCAGCTGTCTGATAATCAATTACACTACTATTCAAAAATATAGTTTGAATATTTTAAGGACAACTGCAACAAAGTGTAGTGTTATTGCACACTATACAATTGAAAGAAACGGTTGTTTAACATACAACAAAATTAGTAGTCTATGTTTTAGAAATATAACACTAGATAACAGTTGTCTGATATTATTTTTGTTTAGTAGTCTTCCGAGTAGCAGTCTGATATATATTTCAACTACTTTAGAAATTAGATATCTATATTTTTGACTGACAACACCAAACAATAGGAGTCTGAAGTCGAAAACAACAGTAGTATATATTATAGATAAACAACAAAAAATCACAATTGTCTTTAACTCTAGAAAATAGATGTCTTACTCATACGAGGACAACTTCAAAAACATGTACTCTGAAAGATCACAAAATAGGTGTCGTCAACCACACTACACAAATGTTTTTAAACAGTAGTCTGTAAATATATCAGACAGCTGCTCGGAAGACTACTAAAACCAACACAGTTAGACAACTAAAAGAAACAGTTGTCAGCATCTATTTTTGACGTAGTTGTATACTATTTATGCATTTATTATAATTGCTTTGTAATTATCTCCTTGATTTCAGGAGATATAGTTTCCTATTTCTCATGTTGTAATTTTTTATTTATACTCATTTTGTGCTATCAATGAGAATCAATCATTCAGAAAACTTACATGGTATCAGAGCCTTGGTTCTAAACCCTAATGCAACTGCTTTTTTTAAGTTCGGGTTTCGACCCACTAGTAGGGTTTTGACCCTTTTGTGGTTAGCCGCCGGCCGCCCTTATCCGATCCTGCTCCCTTTCATTCTCCATGGGTGACAAAGCCGATACATCCCACACTACCAAACTACTAGTTTCCCTTCACTCGGTATACACAATCATTGACATCCAGAAGAAAGTTTGCATGTTGGATGGCTTAAAAGTCACGTATTCTACGTGGCTGAAGCTTTTTAACCTTTATGCACATGGGTACGATTTTCTTGATCACATCACCTTTGAACCACCAGCTGAAGACGACCCGTCATATGCCCAATGGATGAAGATCGACGTTATTGTCCATTAATGGTTGTACAGAACATTGTCTGAAATACAGGCTTCGTGTTCTTGAAGTACTATACCTTCCACTCCACTCCAAACATGGAACCGAGTCAAGGCTATCTTCCATAACAACAAAAGATCACCTTGTGCAGCCTTACAAACTCATTTTGTGAGTCTGAAACTCAACTCCAAGTCCTCTTTGGAAGTTCTATTAAAATGTGTTTGTTGGAAATGGAAAGGGGTCTGGTCCTCCAGTATTGGTAGCCTTACAACCCCAAGGGGCAATGATCAGAAATCATATTAAAATCTAGGAAATCACAGCTTGGAATCCAGCCATTGTCACCCCATCTGTTGTTGATGAGCACTCTGTCCAATTTTGCAAATTTGTTCCCTTTGTGCCAAGTGAAAAATTACCCTCTGGAAGGTACATCTTCAAGAGAATTAGAGGATCTGAAGTGTAGGAAATCAGTCATATAATATGCTCCTTGACTCATGCAATTGACCTTTTCATTAACAGCAAGAACACAATTAAAGTCACCCAAAATACCCCAGGGTTTGGTACATACAGCAGCAATAGAGGAGAGAGTAGACCATAATTCCCTCCTAATAGATAGAGTATAGAGTGCATAAACAAAAGAGAGGGTAAACTCCTTCTAAGTAGTAAGGCAGTGAACATCACAATGGATATATTGTTCACCCTTATCCAAAATACTACAATCAAAAAAGGAAGGATTCCACAAAAGCAAAATATGTCCACCAGGCATAACATCAAAATTAGTGGCATACTTCTAGGAGGCTAGCTTGGCATTCACAAAACCCTCCAGCTTGGTTCCTGATAGTTTAGTTTCAAGAATGCAAACAAAATAGACACCAAGCTCCAAAAGATATTTACACAAAAATTTCTGTTTAGAGGACCTGTTCAGTTCTCTAATATTCCAATATAGGGTTTTCATTTGTGAGGGGGGCCTGGCCCCTTTCCTCCCTTCTTGAGATCATGCTTCTTACCAACAGGAGCACTTTCCTGCACTTTCTTCTTTCTGGCAATTCAAAATTTACCACAAAATAGTATGCTTATTGTAGCAATTTTATAAAATTGCCACTATATCTACACTATTGAGGAGGGAAATTTTTAAAGGGATTAATTTAAGAGAAATTTACGGAAATAAGAGTAAAAGATGGTGTATTTCCGTAAATAGGAGTAGTCCTATTTGACTACACGTTTGGGCATGTATAATGACTAGAATAGCCTCCCACATTAATTAAAGAGAGATGGCATCCACGCGCTGCTATTGTTAGGAATCGCAAAAATTGCGGTCGTAGTTACTATCTACGCACGCTTTTCTAACCCAATAGGCTTCTAAGTCATTACTACACATTGGAAGAGAAGTTTGTTGCTTAGCGATCATGAAGAGCTCAAACGGCAAATCAATGGCGTCGAGAATGAATTTAGTGAAGACATGGGTGGCCCGAATGAAGGGTGTCCAAAGTGGCCAACCGCACAGGGCCCCTTAAAATTTAAGGCACCATATTTTTTAATTTGTTAATAATTTTAAAGAAAAAATATTCTAAAAATATAAAATAGGGCATAAAATGTAAATTTTGGACCAAGTGTTGATGCATTAACAAAAATTTACACAGACATAAAGTGTCGGTGCATTAATAAAAATTAATTTTACACCAACACAAAATGTTGGTGCAAACCTGCGGGATACAAAGTGGAGTACAAAAACTTGGGGTACAAATAGCTTTATCCTAGATCGGTACATACATGTATGATGTTTGTTAAAAATGAAATTTGCACTAAATAGGACTAAAACATAATGACTTTCCTAATCTAGGACTTAAACTTTTTTATTCCCTAAATAGGACTTATTAATGTCTTAGTGGGAAGAATAATGTCCAGTAATGATGGTTATTTACTTGAATAATGACTAATTCATAATGACCAAAAGTCCTACATTGGGAAATAAGGACTAAAACTTTTTTATTCTCTAAATAGTACTTAATAATGTCTAGTGGGAGGAATAATGTCCAGAGATGGTGGACATTTACTTGAATAATGACTAATGATCCTACATTGAGAAATAAAAACATATGGTCATATATTGACAAAGTCATTATGTATTATTCTTATGTAGATAAATGGAGATTGATCATGAAAGATTGGTCAAGGCATTATAAAGACATGAATATACATAAATTGGGTAATTTTTGAAAATGGAAATAAATACAATCTTCACTAAGAAAAATCCAAGAATTAAGTGTTTGTAGTGCAATTATTGAAACAAAACTTGTTGGTCAAATGTCTTTGTGCATGGGTATTTTGTTTAATGCTTTGTTTGATAAATATTTTGTTAAATTCATCGTTGTTGGGATTAAGCCTTTTTTACTATTAAGTCTTTATCAACTAGTGTTTTTACTTTTCGTTAATGCTTTGTTGAAGAGTGTTAAGTGTTGGACATTTTATATTACTTTTCGTTAATACTTTTCGTTAATGCTTTGTTGAAGAGTGTTAAGTGTTGGACATAATTTGTAAGTTTTTCTTGTTTAATAAGTTATTCTTAAATGGTTCGTACCAAGAAAAATCAAAATACAAAAAAATTAGGTGATTTCAAAAATGAAGAAATATACAAAGTACGTAATACTCCCTCCGTCCTTGAGTATTTGTCCACTTTTGACTTTTTTTGGTCAAAACTTGTAAACTTTGACCTCAAATTAAATAAAAATTGTATTAGATATTGATACGAAAATAGTTTTGTTAGATTAATCATATGAAATATTTCCAAAATATTATTTTATCTAATTATAACACAATATATATTTTATTGAATTATAGGTCAAAGGTTAAAAATGGTGGACTGAAAAAAGTCAAAACAGGATAAATACTCAGGGATGGAGGTAGTATATTTTAAAAATGTAAAAAAAGGATGAGCCTCATCCCTGAGGGTTCCCTAAGATCCGGTCGGATGGTCAATGATAAAAGGTAAATTAAACTTTGATCACATTTTGATGGCAAAGATTGGAGATGAAGCAGTGATTGTAAACATGTTAAGAATTTGGAGATGAAGCAAAAGAAGTGACGGTTAATATGATAGAAAATGTAATAATTGCATCCTAAAAAATAGGAAAATTTAATGGTTGGTATTATCTCTAAATATGTAAAGAACATAAAAATTAAGAATGAAAGGACAATATGCATGTGTACCAGCGCGTGGATGCGAGATAACATTAGAAGGGCAAATATGGATACATGAACAAATTTCAGTCTTAGAAAAAGGAAAAAAAGTAAAGAGTCTTATTTAGGGAAAAGTAGTGGCTTTTAGTCCTAGTTGCAACAAATTTTACTTAATTTTATACTTCGAAATATACAGAGTATTTTCAGGGAAGTATTTCAGAAATTCCACCGACCTAAAGTAGCGAAATAAGGAGTAAATTCCCTCAATCCCTCACAATTTTGATCTTTCTCATATGTAACCTCTATTTTCAAACGCCTCCTTCTTCAATCGGAGGGAAAACGAAGTTGGAGGTGAGCAATCAAGGCACACCCAAAGCAATCACCTTGTTTTTTCCCGATTCTCTTTATTCCTGATCAGTGACACGTCTCTTACAAGTCTAGAGCAGGTATGTTTTTTATTCTTAAAAATATTCAAGTTTTTGTTTAGTTTTTCAAAATCGTATAGATTCATACTCTTTAAGAGTATTAATTTGGATTATTAAAGATTTTAACTCTACGTATTTGAGTTTTTGTTTTAAATTTCAATTGATTAAGAAAGTTTGTTTTGTTTTATAAGAGTTAATGTCTTTGTACATCTTGTGTGTGTGCTCCAGCTTCTACTTCTTATCTTTTTCTTCATTTAAAGTTTGGAAGGGAATTCATAAATGGCAGACTAAAAATACACACCAAGAACACTCATTTCGGACGGATCCTTGTGTCACTGAAATTGGGAATGTTGTTTTGGGATTTAATATACTAATTTAATTACTCTTTGTAATTAAAAAAAGAAAGTATGAGATTTAGCATAAGCTTCTTAAGTTTTTTCAGAATTAAGAGCTATGATGATGTTTTTGATCGAACATGCTAATCAAAGTTATCTTCAATTTAAAATCACGAGGAAGAAGATGAAAACCATAATTTGTAAATAAAACAAATTAAATCAAATGATATTTTGCTTACCTCAATTTATCGTCGCTTTTTACATCATTGGCACAAGCTCGTTGTAATCGATGCAACCATCCTGAAAGATAGGAAGATTTAGCATGAACAATGTTGCGGTTTATTTTGAGTAAAAATGAGGAAAGAACTTACATTTTCTTGATCAGCTTCGGGAATTATTTCTACCAAATGGAGATTTTTGTTTGTCAAAATCACCGCATACCTTGTAAAGTTTATGTGGAGTTTAATACCCACTTCTGTGTTTGTCAATATAAGAAAATGCAGCAAATAAATGGTCTTCTTTTGTGATTTTACTTGGCTGCAACATTTCATATATGAACTCTCCATAGTTAATAGTACAACAATTGTCCACATATACTTGAGTTTTCAAAAAAAAATGGAATTATAATACTTCATATTGTATGCTCACTACAAAAAAAGAAAGAAATGTATTTACTGCCATCATCAGATTGCATATCTCAGCCTTGTAAAGATCTACACTAATTTTTTTAACCCAACCTTAATAAGTTCTTCATAGGAACTCAGACAAAACTTCATGAACAATTAGCCATTCTTTGGGATGATAAAGAATGTTTTCCAGCATCATGTACAATGATTAGGAGCAAAAAGAATGTATAATTTTCGCATTAGAGTAGGCTTGATTACATTACTTGTCCTTTATATGAGCTAGTTATTATACATGACTGGGTTATCTTCTAAGGTTGCATTGATACAAGGTATTAATGACTAAAGATTCATCTATGAAATACCTATTATCATTATCATTTAACATTTTGTAAACATTTCAAATATACCATGTAGTTAGTCCTGGTGGAACTCATCTGATCATGCCTTTGAATATACTCTTATTATGACTAAATCATTACTTCTAAATTATCCTCACAATAGAGCGAGTAGTGTGCTCTTCCTCTTTTCCAAAATAGGATTTTTGTACTACTATATAGAAGAGTTAAGTGTGGGAATAACTTTCGAAGTATATTATATTTGTTGTACATAATCTGTATTCTGAAGGAAGTAGCGGTAATGTAGAAATCTGTTGGTTCTGTGTGTTGTTTGATGTATGCTTATTTTTTCTGTATTTACTCATTTTCGATTAAATGGAGAGTGAGTTTCTGCATATTTTCAGTCAAGTATCTGTTTGAATTGTTTAAATGCTGTGATTTCCATGAAAGCTGCATATTACCTGTTGAGATGAAGATGCTTTAGTTGAGTTTTTAAGTTGATGGAGGTCTAGTTAGGGTTTGTTTTGAGATGTACGAAATGTGTAATGTGGCAGGGTAGTCAAAATTTAGATTGGATAGGGAAGGCTGACGTCCAACCCTCTACAACCTACTTTTGAAATTAGGTCATCATGCAGCAGTTGTGAGACTAATAGAGTCCCATAATCATGACTCCACTTGGATAAGAGATTAACTATGTAACGCCCCAAAACATACCCTAAAATTATTATTGAATTATTATTCAATTAATCAAAATTGTTTGGATTAAATTAAATTATTGTTGGGCTTTCACAATATGAACAAATCTCGTGGAGATACATCCAATATGTTAACTATTTGTGTGATCTTGATTGGGAACCAAAGTACAGACCCAAATTAAAAATAAATAAAGAATTTGTTTATGATGTGCACTTTGAAATGAATCAAAATGGATCTCTAAACTGTCTGTGCTTCTTTAATTAATGAAGTAGCAGTTAGTTAAGCAATGCAACTTTCGACGTTGAGACGGGGGTCTCTTTGGAAACAGCCTCTCTACTTTCGAGTAGGGGCAAGGTCTGCGCACACACACCCTCCCCAGACCCTACTTTTGTGGGATTTAACTGGGTTGTTGTTGTTGTTGTAAATAATGGGAATAAATAATATGAATTAAAATTGAGAACTTTTTTGAATAAAGGTACATTAAATCAGTTTTGACTCATTCAAAGTCAAACACCCAAAAATATGTTGTCAGAAAAGTATTGCAAATAAATATAAAAATTATATCGTGTTATAAAGTTTGACTGTCTGATCGCAACGGTACAAACGAATTTCAATTTAGATAAAGTTGGACCAAAAAGTGTACCCCTACTGGAAACAAATTAGTCCGAGTCGGGGAGTGGCGTGTAAATCCCCATAATCGCCGTTCAGCCCACTACCGCTGATTCTACTGATTCTCAGCACGTCACCCTTGGCTTCATCCTCCACCATCTCCCTATATAAGTTGCTCAACACTTTTTTACATCTCACCACCAAACTCAGTAAATAGATCCTGAGAGTATGGGGAACATTTTTCTATAATTAGTTTCCGAAGCAATCCATAATCATCACCGGAGGTTTCATCAAAAAATTTCCAAAACCTCCATTTAAGTTCGAGGTAAGCCCATAGATATATCTAGTAATTAGAATGTTCTTATAGATCATTTCTACGTTCATAAACAGTCATTTGGGGTAGTTTTGTGTTTGATATATTCGAAGAACCAAGAATCATAAACCTTGAATTTGTTGTTAAAACTTCAAATTAAAGATGCCAAAATGATCTATGAACCCGGGAAAATATTTCTATATAGTTTAATTGAAGTTTGGTGACTAAAAGTGACATTTTCGAAAATTGGCCCGAGGTTGAAGATGACACTGTTCGAAATTACACGTAGAATGGTAGCCAGCTACCGTCCGGACGGTACCTTTGTACCACCGGCACAGTAGGCCGTACCGTCGGAACAGTAGGCTAGCTACCGTATCCGCCGTGGAAAAATATCCTCCTCTGGCAGTATCTGATTCCAAACGGTACCCTGTACCGTTTGGGCGATATCGAGGTACTGTGCATCGATACCAAGGTACTATGGAGGACACTGTCTAACCCGAGATGTTAAAGTAACGTCCCAACGCTAGAGGGGGCGTGAATAGCGTTTGAATGAAAAAGTCGGAGGAATAAAAAATTAAGAACGTGAAATGTAAAGAGCGTAGAAAGCGTAAAGGGAGCACACCAAGATTTATCATGGCTCACCACAACGTGTGGCTAGTCCAGTCTCCCGAGAGACTCTCTCGAGCTACACTACCGTTAAGCTTACGGGTACTTAACAAACCGTTACAACCTGAGAACTCGAGTCTCACGAGCCTCAGAAACACTTGCTTGGATATACCGCACTCCAAGACTTCAACCCGAAAGAAAATACCTTTCCTTTGTACAACCAAGGGAAACAAGCTTCCCTTAACGTGTATCAAATACTAAAAATACTCAAAAACAAATACTCTCTTTTAGAGTGGATATTGAGTAACTAAGAACGCTCAAGAACACACCACGAACTTCACGAAAATGGCTCTAAAAAAGCTATGGAAAATATGTGAATGTAATGCAATGAATAATAAGAGTTGTGAAGTATAGTGATATGAAAAGAAGACCCAAACACCCCATTTTATAGTAGAAAAATAGGCTCCGACGGGTAGGAGTTGATTAGGGGTGATTCGCACAATTTGTGGGATTTGATTAAAATTGGATCTGCTGAAAATTAGCCTGACAGCGTTGTCCATCACTTGGACATCGCTGTTGTAGGTTTAGATTTTGAAATCAAAGCTTCAACGGTCAAGCCAACATCGATGTCCAGAAGGTGGACATTGCTGTTCTAGGCATTGACTCCTAAACTTGGAAAGTTTTAGCCTTTAATTTCTTCCAACGGTCAGGTGCCTACATCGATGTTCATAACATGAACATTGCTGTTCAGGCTTAACCTTCCAAGGAAGAAATTGGCGTGACATCGCTGTTGCTGGGTCAACAGCGATGTTCAAAAAGTTTCTGCCAAAACGTTTTCTTTTGGCTTGAGTTGAACATCGATGTAGAGATGTCTACATCGTTGTTCTAAAACCTTCTGGAATTTCAGGCTTGGCTTAACATCGATGTGCAATGTCCAACATCGCTGTTGGAGGACTTAGGGTCAGGGGTCTCAGATGGCGTTTTTACTACTCTATGTAGATGATATCATTCTCACAGCCTCCTCAAAAGGTCTTCTACACACGATCATACAGCGCTTGAAAGGCGAGTTTGCCATGACCGACATGGGGGATCTCCATTTCTTTCTCGGGATCAATGTTCAGCGTACCACTCATGGCTTGTTTCTCACGCAGACGCAGTTCTTGTATGACATCTTAGACCGTGCGGGCATGCTTTCTTGCAAACCGGTGTCCACCCCGGTTGATACCCGGGGAAGCTGTCGGCCTCAGGAGGATCACTCGCGGCGGACCCCTCTCTGTATCGGTCCATCGTGGGGGCACTTTAGTACCTGACCTTTACTCATCCTGATATTACTTATGCAGTCCAGCAGCTTTGTCTCTTTCTCCATGCCCCACGCACACCTCACGTCACAGCCATGAAGCGGGTCCTATGGTATCTTCACGGCACACCTTCACACGACATCTCCATCTCTCCGTCAGAAACAGGCCACATGCGAGCCTACTCCGATGCTGACTGGGCCGGATGCCCTGACACTCGCAGATCCACATCTGGGTATTGTATTTTTCTTGGCGACAATCTCATTTCTTGGTCCTCCAAGCGCTAACTCACTACCTCCAGATCCAGCATCGAGGTAGAATACAGAGCAGTAGCAAATGCCGTTGTTGAAGTCAGTTGGATACGGAATCTTCTCCTCGAGCTCCAGCAGCCCCTCAGCCGATCCACACTTGTTTTTTGTGATAATATCAACGCTGTCTACCTCTCTGCAAATCCTGTTAAGCATCAGTGCACGAAGCATATCGAGGTTGATATTCATTTCGTTCGAGACAGGGTGGCTCTCAGACAGGTACAGGTACTTCATGTCCCTTCGTCACTACAGTATGCATATATCTTTACGAAGGGTCTCCCAACCATCATCTTCTCAGAGTTTCGGGATTGCTTGGGAATTCGGCCTTCCTCACTAGTGCCGTTGGGAGGATGTTAAATATATTCTGTTTATATTTAATATTATTTGTATATAGTAGTTACCATTCTTGTATCGGTAACAATAACTCCGTTTCCTAACATAACTAGAAAACTTCTCCTATATAAACACTTGTATCCTGACATTATTGTTATTGGAAAATAATTATTCTTCACATGTGCTATGACAATGGATGTAATCGATAAAAGAGATTACATACCTAAAACTCAAAGAAGAGTACATGTAGATAGTACATAAATGATTGGCCAAAATGGTAAGACCCTGAAGGTTGAATCTAAGTCACTCGATAAATAAAATACTTTCGAACCTGTAGTTCAAACATCCATATACGTCAAACCAATAGTTATAAATGGGTGTCTGCAATAAGCAGAAATAAAATGAATGAGATTGTGCGATATAATATAAGGCATGACTTTTAATGCAAGGGGTTTTCCAAATTCCAAGAGTTGATTATGAGGAAATGTATTCTTCAGGAGTGGATGCGCTAATCTTTTAGAATTTTAATTGGCTTCACAATCTCAAAAGGATTTCAAATAAATGATATGGATGTCGTCACAACATACTTATAAGGGACACTTGAAACTGACATCTGTGATAATAATCCCTGAAGGGTTCAAAATGCCAAAATCAATAAAATTAATACATCGAGATATGTGTGAAGAGATCCTTGTATGGTCTCAAGTAATTTGGTCATATGTGGTACAATTGACCTAGTGAATATCTCGAAAAAGAAAGATACAAATCTAAATCAACTTATATGTTGTCATTAAAAGATCACTCTCAATATTCGTTATTATAGCAGTTTACGTCGACGTATAAATATCATTAGATCTCCTAAAGAGAAAAAAATGAAATGAGAATTAATATAAAATAAGGGTAAATTTGTATATTTTTACAAGTTTTTTTGACCGAGGATTATTTACTAAATGAACTCCTATATAAAGAAAAAAAGAGTAAAAGTTAGGCACTCCTATCTAAGGAAAAATAATACGGAGTACTGTCTTTGTCCCTATGTAATTGGAGTATATTTTATGCAAAAACAAAATAAATTTCCACGTTTTTCAATTAATTTTATTTAAAGATTGGTTTACAAATAAAAATTAAAAGTTAAATATTTAAAAAGTATATCAAAATTTCTACAAAACAAGAGATGGGAAAAATGTTTTATTTCATCAAATAGAGAATGAGAACACCCAAATAAACAAAATCTCCCGTTATTTTTGAATTAGTGAAGTGTATAGATCATTTAGGAAAGGAGCAAGTAATTATTTGGAACAATTTTTCTTAAGGATTAAGCTATTTGTGTACCCCAATTTATACACCACAAGTGTGCACCTTCATTTTGTGCCAGTGTGATGCTAGAGTGATGGTTCAAACAGACACAAAATGTTATTTTTGTGTAACTTTAGAGTACACTTTTTTGTGTAATTGTAGAATGATTATTTTTATAAACTCAAATCAAATTCAAGAGTTGTGGTTGCGGACATTACACAAACTACAAAATGAGGCCAGACAGGGCCACATGCTAAGCACACAACCAGTCAAAAGGACGAAATGGCACCCACAGATCCTTTCCTACCCATGTGACATTCCCACCCTTCTTCCCATTCTACCCTTAGATTCCCATCATCATCTGAATTAATTTACATAACTGAACACGCATTTGGGTTCTCGTCACTGAACATTTGTGGGTAACCCCCATAGCCATGGCCATGGCTCTCTTGATGTGCAGCAAACCCTTGTTGGGGAATAAGTGGATGATTGACTTGGTAATAGTGGTAGGCCTCATATTTTCTCAACCCCAACTTTGGGTCTTCTTTACCCTCCTCCTCTAGCTTGGCTCCAGTACAGGCGGCGCCACCACCGGCGTCACTCTCCTTCTTCTCTCCCTTGTCATCGGCGGCTTTGGATTCCTCCTCCGCCGCCGCCGCCTTCTTCTCTTCCGTCTTCGGCTCTGCCTTCACCACCACCACCCGTTTCCCGGTCTTCTTCGCAACGTAGTCCGCTAAGGTCTGTGGATCGAACACGCCGTTCACAGTCACCTGCGAGGTCTTGAAGTCCGGTTCTACACTCTCCACGCCTGGGATGGAGTGAATTTACAGTAATTATTAATTAATGGAAAAATTCCCATGGAGTCTAAATCAGATAAAGATTCCTATAACTTAGGCTTTGAATCCCCTAGATCTCGACAGAGTAGTTAAGAAAGAATATCTTATTCTAGTCAAAGTTCAGATAGTGAAAGGTTGAGAATTTAGAATCATAAAAAAAGACTTTTTCCATCTTAGAGAGTATTATAGAAGTAGTAGTGCATTAAAATAAAACAAGGAATGGAATCATCACTCTTTCTTGTCTAGGAGAACTAAAAAAGAGTCAATTCCATAGTCTTTTTATGAGTGTATTTCCACAAATGATCTTTTTTTTTTTTGATATTTTGCCATGTTGATGTTAATTTCAAGACTAAAGGTATAATTTGACAGGTTTTCTGATATTGGTTAGACGAATAACACAAAAATAATGACTATGATTGTGGGCTAGGATTTTGTCTGTAGACTATGTTGTAGTGGAAAACGATTATAATTCACAAATGACACATTAAGAGCGGCTTTTGGATTGTGTATGACAAGAAAGATATATTATCGTTGTGAAATTACATTTTTAACCATCAAATTAACACCAACGTGATAAAAGATGAAAAAAGAACTATTTGTCGAAAGGTACGCATAAAAAGACCACCCAAGTAATATTTGAAAATAGAAGACTAAAAGTTGACTAATTATGGAATTACTCATTACAAAAAGTAGGAACAAAATGTGTATAAAAAGAAGCACCTTTCATTCTCAAAATCTTCCTTTTGATTGCTTCAGCACAAGCCTCACAATGCATGTGAGCTTTCAGAACTACTGCAAACACCTGAACACACAACCAAAACCGTTTCCTTTTAACCCCAAACCAATTTGTTAATGAGTATTAGGCCTATAAAGAGCTCTATGAACAATAGAATCAAAAGGGAAGGAAAAACATAGTAGTTATTAATCTGATGAACCACAACCTCTGGTTTTTTCTCCTCCTGCTCCGGCGGCTTCAGGGGTTCCTCCGCCGCCGCTGCCGCCGGTTTGGGGAGGGAAGATATGAGCTCCACTTGGCGGTGGCTCTTCCTCTGCAGCCTTTCTAGCACCTTCAGTGGATCTGCCTTTTCCCCTTTCACCACAATCTTATGGGTCTTCCAATCCGTCACCACATCTTCAACCCCTATACCGAGAAAACACAAAAACAAAGTTTACAATTAAAATCACCCTAGCTCTGTCTGGCTATAATAAATAAATCCCAAATTAATTTAAACAGTATTTGTCGATTTAGAATTAACCTTCCAAATCTTTAAGACAGCGGCGGACTTTCCGAGCGCAGCCTTCGCAATGCATGAAGACTCTCAACACAATCTCTTGAGGCGGCGGCGCTTTGGATTCTTCCGCCGCCTTCTTCTCATCTCCACCGGCGGCGCTGGGCGGTTGCTCTGTCTTTTCGGAGGGTTGTTTCACTTCATCCGCTGGTTTCTTCTCCTGTACAATTCAAAGCAAAAGAAATCAGCTTAGCAATAGAGATAGAAATGGAGAAGAAAAGAGATTAAATTAATTACACTGTCCTTTTACCTCTCCCATTGGAATCTGCAGAAAAGCTAGAGTTGGGATAAGCTCAGGCTACCTATCTCTGAACAGTATATCGCCGTTTCTCTCTCCTCACACTTTCTCTATCTAGTCTAGAGTATGGGGCTATAAAATGACTCCACTAGATTGGGGGAATCCATTTTGTTATCGTTGGCCGATATGGACTCAAATTTTCAAGATCCCTTGTAAGGGGACACCAACACCATTCTATACTACTTCAAGAGTAGCCTTGTTTAGAAATAGGGATGGCAACGGGTCGGGTTTGGGTCGGATAGTACTATACCCGAACCCGACCCGACTTTTAAAACCAAAACCTGAACCCGACCCGAAACCCGACCTTTTAAGCCAAAAACCTGACTCGACCCGAACCCGACATTTCAACCCGAAACCCGAACCCGACCCGAACCCGACTTTTAACCAATAATCAATTCGACGTACCCCAATAATTTTGAAAAGATTAAATCTAATTTTTTTGTGTCTCTTTTTTATGTCTCATTTTTTATTAAGGGATTATAAAAATGATTTAAAAAGACATACTTGATATAGTAGATTAGTAGCACTTTGTCAAGAGATTATACGGAGTGCTCATTATATCCATAGATAGACTTTTATGTAATAAAATATTCGGGTTTTAGTCGGGTCGGGTGCGGGTTCGGGTCGGGTGAAATTATAAATCCACACCCGACCCGACCCGATGTCGGGTTCGGGTAAAAAATTTCGGGTCGGGTTCGGATTATTTTATTCTCGGTTCGGGTTCGGATATTTTAGTAGTCGGTCGGGTCGGTTAAGCTCGGGTTCGGGTTGAATTACCATCCCTATTTAGAAATAAGTTTATTTTATTAGCGTTAATGTTTTACGTCAAATTTTCGTGGTCTAAATTAATTCTACAAACACTTAAAACTATTGTAGAATTTTGAAATCGAATGACTTGTGCCTTCTGAATGATGTCCAATCCAGAGCATATTTGTATCGATTTAAGATCATACCCTCTCGTGAGCGAGCACATTTAATGCCCAAAAATAAGAAACAGAACCAAGGTACTCTAACTGGAAACAATCATGGAGATGCCTTTTAAAGGAGGTACACCATGCTCTACTATTGCCTGCGACGTGGATATCATCAACGTACACAAGAACAACTCTTGACCCCAACGACACACAAATAAGGTGTGGTTAGTGTGGGCCTGGCAAAACCCGTACATGCGCAGAGCCTCACGAAGTTTGCCAAACTAATTATTCAGTGACTGTCGCAAACCATAAGGAGATTTACAAAGACAACTACTTTCCTGTGATAGGATGTTTACCCAAGTGGAAACTTCATATAAACTTCCTCAGCTAGATCACCATGAAGAAAAGCATTATTTACACACAATTGATGAACCTCACAGTCTCGAGAAACAACAACCGATAAAAGAACACAAGCTGTGACCATTTTGGCCAACAGAGCAAATTTATCAGTGTTATCAACACTAAACTCTTGATGATTACTTAACACAACTAACCATGCTTTGTCACGTTCTTTGGTACCATCAGAATGAAACTTCATTTTGTAAACCCACTGGCAATCTAAAGCATGACAATGTGGAGGTAAATAAGTGATCTCCCACGTGTGATTCTTCTCCAAAGCAAGGAATTCTTGAGCCATTGCCTCTTTCCAGGAAGAAAATTTGATTGCCTCTTGAAAAGTTTTGGGTACACTTGTTAAATTGACTGCAACTTGGAACGCCTTGTACCTTTCATGTAATATATCACAATGAACAAAGTAAGTGAGAGGGAATCTGATATGGAGGACACCCATGCAGCCCAAGATCCCCATGCAGCCCATGCTCGACCAGTAGCCTTGGGCCGTCCGCGTATGAAGGTTGGGCCACCCTAACATTACCAAGATTATATTCAAACGTCTCTTTTTAATAATTATTGTAATTTAGGTTTTCGTAGGTGAGCGAATTATAAGCTCCTTAGATAGCTTTTTTTTCAGTTCTTTACCTTAATGCCTTTTTTGAATCGATGGGTTAGATAATATAGTAATTAGGGTTTTGGGGATGTGTTATTATAAATATGGGACGATAAACCCTTTCCACTCAAGCAATAATAATAAACGTACTCCTCCCTAACTCTCTTCTCTCGTTCTTTCTCTAACCCTAAAGAGGCGTTTCTTCCCTATTTCCCTAGCCACACGCACGGCCGAACAAGAGGACTGGCGCTGGTGAGAGGGTTTCCCGAACGAAACCCTTATCAACTAGTGCTTTCATCTTGAACTCCATGGCAAGCTCCGAATCAGGTCATGCAGAAATTACCCTAGAGGATATCATGCATACTATTGGCGAACTTGGAAAGGATTTGCATGCAACAAAAGTCCGCGTGGCCGAGTTGGCGATGGCACGACAAACTGTGATGGCCGAGGTGCAACGTCCATTGTATCAAGCTCATCTCGGGTGGGGGCCTCCTCCGTCTTGGACTACCCCCCATGATGGACCCGGCTCCCAGGATGCATGTGGATGCCCCACGGTTCTCGGGCGATGATCCGATAGGGTGGATTTTTTGCGTCTAGAAATATTTTGATTACTTTCTTACTCTCGAACCCGAACAGTGGCACTTGGTGGCTATGTTGATAGACCACCTAGCTTCGAAATGGTTTCATTTTATCAAGCCAACAAACTAGCATCCACATGGCCGGAATTTTTGGAGGCAGTTCAAAAGCGGTTCGACCCGACGTATTATGAGAATTACATGGGTTTATTGTCTAAACTCACACAAACTACAACTGTCCTCGCCTATCAGACGGATTTGAGACGCTCCTCAACAAAGTCTTGGGGGTGCTGGAGTCCACCTTGGTGGCCATGTATATCGTAGGTCTAAAGCAGCCCCTACAGCGGGAGGTTAATCTTCGCAATCCGACCACTCTTCCCATCGCCTTTAATTTAGCACGAGAACTTGCGGTATGTCACTTTGACGCCGTTGGAACTTTGAACAGAGAGGGTCGCTGCCCCTGGCAGTCTCGGCTACCCACTCCCAACCCCGTGGGTCTTTTACCCACACCTCTTCCCAATGGAAAGGGGCCCCCAACTTCCTCACCGGGTCGTAGCACGGACCCAACTTTAAAGCTACCCATCATTCGTTTGACCAACGCGGAAAAGAACGAACGCAACTAGAAGGGGTTGTGTTGGTATTGTGATGAAAAGTGGATGCCCGAACACAATTTCAAGCATAGATTTCTCCTTTTAATGGGCCCCAATGACGACCATGACCATCCACTAGACGACGGCAGTCCGCATGATGAGGAGGACACGATTACAGGCCAGTTTTCATTCGTTGGCTTGAAATTCGAACCGCAATGCCCTTAAAATGGTCGGTTCCGTAAACGGCTCCGCGGTACATGTGCTTTTGGACAGTGGGAGTACTCATAATTTTATACACCCAAGCGTGGCGGAACGGTTACAGCTTCTTCTCCATCCCGTAACCTCGTATTCCTACTGGTTCCCCCAAACACCACTCTTATTGCAGGGTCACTAGTTTCCCGTGGATCTTTACTTATTGCACATATATGGACCCGATGTTGTTCTCGGTATCTAATGGTTGCAAATGCTCGGCCAAGTCTCCCATGATTATGGCCAGATGACGATGTCTTTTTGTTGGAACGATATTCCGGTCACTCTCCGCGGCGAAAATCCATAGCCACATTCTGTTACTTATAGCCAGTTGAGCACGATGATGGCTGCCCCCGCTCCAGGGGACCTATATGAATTGCTCTCAGCGCCGGCTCCTTCTCCACCCACCACAACCAACATCAACATACGTGCCGACATCCCGGATGCTCTCTGCGGTTTTTGGACTCCCAACAGGCCTTTCACCACCCCGCAATTGGGACCATCAAATTCACTTGGGTGAGGGTACCAAACCTATCAACGTCTGGCCTTATCGTTACCCTTACTTTCAGGAAACAGAGTTGGAACGCCAGGTCAAAGAAATGCTACAGCAAGGTATCATTCGTCCTACCCACCGTCCCTTTTCTTCCCCAGTTTTATTGGTTCGCAAGAAAGATGGGACTTATCGTTTTTGTGTTGATTACCGGGTGCTCAATGCAGCCACAATTCCGGATCATTTTCCTATTCCGACGTGCGACGAGCTCTTTAATGAGTTAGGCCAGGATCGAGTATTCACCAAATTGGACCTCCGGTCGGGATATCATATAATCCATATGCACACTGCCGACATCTTCAAAACTGCTTTCGGAACGCATGACGGGCAATATGAGTTCTTGGTTATGCCCTTTGCCTTGTCAAATGCCCCCTCCACATTTAAGGCTGCCATGAAAAGTTTATTCCGGGCACACTTGTGAAAATTGATCATTGTGTTCTTCGATGATATATTGGTGTATAGCCCATCTTTGGAGTCCTAAGTCAGCCATCTTCGTCTCACCTTAGAGATTCTACAGTCCAATTTCTTTTTACGTGAAGCTGAGCAAGTGCGACTCCGAGAAGTCCACCATCACTTATTTGGGCCACGTATTGACATCGGGTGAGTTACGTGCTGACCCCGAGAAAATTATTGCTATGCTTTCTTGGCAAAAAACGAGCACTCTAAAGCAACTCCAGGGCTTCTTGGGATTGATCGGGTACTATCGGCGCTTCATTGCGGGGTATGCGGTGATCGCGGCACCCGTGACGAACATGTTAAAGAAGGATAATTTCCACTGGGACTCGATGACAGAGGAGAGTTTTTCATGTTTCAAACGTGCGATGACATGCGTGCCCGTCCTTCGTCTACCGGACTTCAATAAAACTTTCTATGTGGAAGCCGACACTTCGGACTATGGAATAGGTGTGGTGTTCCTATAACAAGATCACCCTCTTGCTTTTTTAGAAAGAAACTCAATCCTCGAAAATGTTCCGCCTCCACCTATCACAAAGAGCTCTATGCGATAGTGGCAGCAGTGAAAAAGTGGCGGCCGTACCTCCTCGGCTGAGAGTTTGTTATCTGAAGTGATCATCGCAGCTTGGAAGAGCTCATTTTCTAGGTTATACAAACCCTAGATCATCAATTTTAAACCCGTAAGTTGATGGGCTTCAAGTTTCGGATAGAGTCTAAAACCAGGGTGACCAATCAGGTGGCGAACGCCCTATCTCGACGGGAAGAACAGGATCCATAAGGCACGTTCTTGTTAGACAATCTCTATAC